CTTTCCGGACAAACCCTGTAAATATACACACTCGTACCGCAAATCGTACATCGAGTTGCCTACCATTAATAGCATCTCCATGTTGGTGTTGGCGTATGTTGCGGGAATGTGTAGAGAAGCTACGAGTATAACTCATCGTACCACACTACTAACAAGGTAACAGTAACAGATACTCTCTTTCAGTCTGCTACTACAAATGCGGTCTTGGTATGATATGCTATAGTAGGACTCTAGCGAGTAAAAATATAGACATTACAAAGGACTTTGCACATGTAAGTTTCCATAGCAAATGAACAACTTAAGAAACTGCAAAAATTTTTAACGACAAAAGAAAGCAGCGTAAGAAATCGCCTGAATGAGTACGTAAGATATAGCGGAATCTCTTATGATATATGGAGGAGTGACTTGAGGGTTCCCCAGAATGAACGAGACTTTTTCCTATTGTAAAGCAATAAATATCTGTCGGTTTTAATACGTAGCTTTGCCGTCGGGCGATAAGCGATGGCGACCGAAGCTGAAATCGCGCGCCTGTCACCCAACTCATAAATAATCTGGAGATTTTTTGCTTTGTTGAAAGATTAGGTGCGTTTTGTCAGGGTGGCTATATAGTCCGGTTCGTAACGCTTATAGAGCTGTCAATAGACCCAGTGGGTTACCCTACAGAAGATATGTCGAATTTTTCAAATACATATGTATATGTAGTTATATTCCATAGTCTCATGATTCAAGTACAATAAACTACTTATTGGTAGTCATCGCAAATATATTTGATTCCATTTCAAAAGTATCTTGTTGTAACTTAGACTCTCAATAAAAAAGTGCATACTTATTTATTATGGTAATATATCGTCTCTGGCATTAAGTTGGGGTCAAACATACTTACAATGCACAAGTATGTGAACAAGGGCAAATTTAGAGGGAGCGAGAAGGGCATACGCCCCTTCTGCCATATCTTTTATATAAAGGTTTATATTGCCGTATCCCACCCCCCGCTGTCCAATTGCTACTTGGGCATTTGCTGTCAGCTCATGCTAAACTAGCATTTTGTTAAAAAAGGCTAAGACCCAAGAAAAAGTTCCCTATATTTGTCAAATTTTTGTAATTATATCCTTGAATGATGTTGTCTTGAGAGTTCAATCCTTTGTGAAAAATTGGTAATCAGGTACCAAAGTATGGCCCTAATAGACCTTTGACCATTAGGTTAAATTGGTTGATTCAAAACTACAAAAAACACACCCCTAAAAAGTACTTGAAAAATACTTGACCTCGAAGAAAAATTCAGAGGTTATAGCTTACCTAATATTAACCTAAAATATGCCCTCAATGTCAGGTTCTTTTTTGGGCAAATTGGTAAGTAAAAATTATCTTGTAAGTTTGCAACATAGATTGGTAAAACATAAGTCAATTGGTCTGCTAACTAACCCTATTGTATACTCGTACCTCGGGGTTACAAGGATCCTTTTAGTAAATGTTCGGTTCTTTTAATTTGTAACGCTCTTGACTATGCGTGTTGGTTTCTTCAGTCATACTTAAATCCAAAAATGTCTGAAAATTTAAACCGGAGGAAGCCTAAGGTTTAAAGGCAAAATTTACCACGCCTTTTTTATAAATAAGAGAAAATGATGGAGTGTTTCATCCTTCCTTTTATTAATTAATAAATAAATAAACAAAAACAAATAGTGAGTCAATGCAGAACACCTGACTAGTGGAGTGCAAATGTAAGCCCTAGGTCAATAAAGCGGAGAGTCGGGGGTTAAGAGCGTCAGTGACTCAAGCCACAAATTAAGTCACAAAACCCCGAAATGTTAGGTGGAACCCCACAAAAGAAGAGAATCTAATAGCAATGACGTAAACTATGTAACTAATTGTTCCGAGAGCCAAGAAAAACAAGATATTTAAAACAATCACAATATGTTAACGGATTCATTAACATTCATATGTTCCATATCTTCACTACTGCAGAATGAAGGATTTACAAATACCTAAATTTAAGCTTGATTGTTGTCTTGATCTTGGTCTTGGTTAAAACCAGTCGGCAGTAGTGTACCGTGATGTAAAGCCAGGTACTCATTGACGCATATGTTAATGCAACCAAATTCAGTGGTGTAGATGTGTTGCGAACGAAGTTCTCGAGCACACTTCGAGCCGCTCGCAGCGATCCGCCACCTGTCAGTTTTCAGGACGAACACAAACAGATTCTCAGTTGGTTCGTGGACGCAACAACAATATGAGCACGTGGGTTGAAGGAAAGGTTTAAGCATTAATTGAAAATTACAAAAAGATGCTTGTAGTATGAGATACAAAGAATCAGTACTATTACAAGAAACATGTAAAAAATATGCTTGGACTGAAACTGCTTCTGTAATAAGCACAACTGGCGATATCTGTAAGAAAAAGATGGTCACTATATTGACGTCCTGGAGAAGAGAGAAAGCAAAAGAAAATAAAAGCCGTGGAACTGGAAAAGTTAATTTTTATCAATCATAAATTTGAAATAAAAAAGAAGATCATCTTCTCTCTTTGTAAATTAAATGGGAGCACCATCGTCGAGGACGTTTATCTTCTTCAATCAATGCGTTTATTAAAATAAATGCAGCACTGGTTCTTGGTATCGACATGGTGCAAGCGGCTCGAACCCTCTGTAAACACTAGTGGTGGGCAAAAAGCATCTATCCGATACAAAAGATCCGATACTTTCCGAAGTCAGAAGTATCCTATACTTTTTGATGAATGTATCGAATACTGTAATAAATACTGACAATCTGACTATTCATACATACTGCAGTGTAGAGAGAGTGACAGAGAATACAGAGATACTTCCGTCGCATGTGAAAGCTGAAAGCGAAAGGTCAAAGGGTCGTCGCGCGTTCAGCCGGTTGAGTTGTTTGTTTTTTGTTTTTGAAGGCTGCGAAATGCGGATTGTGTCGTTTGGTTTGTAGTGTTGATCAATCTAAAAGTAAAATATAACATAATATGCACGTTATATTACAAATCAAAGGCGACATTAGAATGATCTTGATTAGTGGATGTGTGTCTTTATTGTTTTGTTTATTGAAATATTTAAAATAAGAATATTCAATATTGGCATCATGATCAGGCATCAGGCTCATGACCCATGTTATTATCTGCTTCGCGTCAGTGACCAGTTTTGGGTTGTTGCATGTTCCGGTTGTCAATTGAATATAGGCGAGCTTTTGGGAATTAAAGTGTGTCATTTTGATTTCTAACAGTTAACTGAAGCAAAAGGCTGAAATTAATTTCTTGTTACAAAAGCCCAGAATTTATATTTTATTTTTAACCAATATTGTAACAATAACAAATATAGCAATGTAATTTAAAATTCAGGGTATCGCTCATCACTACTCATCAGTCATTTCTAATTTCTAGTCTATACTCGATGATACCTACTTATAGGAGACCGAGACCCCATAATAACAGTAAGCAATAAATTCGAAGGTCGGGGCCTGGATCAGCGACATAAAGACACGAACAGGATTATTATTATTTCACACTAGCAGTATTAAATTAACGGATACTAATGGCAATTAATCCAGCCGATACTTGGTATCGGTATTGCATACTCAGTATGGGATACTTACAGATAAAGTATCGGTATCTATTCGATACTTGCAAAAGTATTGATTACCCACCACTAGTGAACATTGCGGTTCGGGAGGTTTGCGAGAAGCAAAGAACTTCACGACGATACTGATACAGTAACGGTTGCAGTTACAGTTGCAGTTCGTGAATGAGTACCCGGCTTAAGGAACTCACGAAGTATAGGCCGCTAGCCTCGAATTCAAAATTTACAATGCATAAAACCCTACAGGAAGACTGCGTAAAAGTCTGCTGAGATAAAACTACTCAATAAAACACTCGAACTTGACAAACCATGTACATTTTCATAAGAAAAGTGAAGCAAAGGCAAAAAAGAGAAAAATTTATTAAAGTAATACACCCTCAAAAAGCTATCCCTTGTTTGAACAAAAAAGTTACTATAAATGACCAATGTACCGGAGTAAGCTCGAGAGAAGGTGCCAAAACAAATAACTAAGCGTAAGGTTATATCCGGCTCGATAGACCAATAAATTTTGAAATTTGCCAAAAGAAAATCATTGAAAAAGGTTTCTACCATTAATAAAGAGAAATAAGAATTACCGATAAGTGATTAAAATACTAGAAATAGTAGAAAAAAGGGTTATGTCATTTTGGCACGTTACACAATACTACCGGGTGATGTTTTCTTCTGACACGTTTCAGACTCTACCTCTCTCTCTCTCTCTATTATTTAAGCAACGACTTCATCTTTCATCTTGCTAACTTGACCCATTGAAAAACTTAATGGGAAAGGAGAACATCAAAGAACCGTTTTGCGTAATAAAAATTCTTTGCGGCAAGTTGCATCATATATTATCAAACTTTGATATATACTGATATATGCTGCATTTGAAGTAGATCAATGGCCCTGAAAATGTTTTAATTAAAATGTGAAGAGCTAAAAGGCATAAGCTCAAGGAATGATAGCTAAAACTAGACAAATTGCAATTATTTTTCAAAAATGCGAATTCAGTTTTCCTTGCGACTGACTCATTATTTATGGCAATGAATTAAATAAAACTTGAAGCACTTTAATGCAAAAAATGAGACATCAAAGTATATATTATATTCTAGAAAGAAGACCGCTGCATAGTTTTATAAAAGTGTACGAGCCTCGTCGAACTAGAGAAGAGGAGGACTTAGAAGAGGATACAGAACCAGATTTCGACAGTTTCCGACAGCATCTTGCCAAAGATTCAGCGTTACATACAACGCACAACCCTTCTAATCACATGGTAAGTAGTAACGATGTTCAGCAAAAATTACCAATAGTGATTTGCTCTCTATATGTACGAGTATATTTCTCGATAAAATTAATACTGTTAGAATTTTAAAATTAGTATTAACCCCTTACTGCATGATTTTTTTGTTTTTGTTAAAATAAATATATGTGCTAGTTCATATTAGAAAAGTAACTAGAAAAATATATAAAAAAATTATTGATGCTTTTTTTTTTAAAGAATAGCCTTTTTCGACATGTGCCAAATTTGACACAAATTGCAATAGTTGACTAATAACGGAAAAATTTACTGAAACCATATATGTTATAAATCGTTAAAAATACATGGGAAAACACCTAAACTAAATGTAATTTTGAATAAACATTTATTTACTCCAGATGAAAACGGCGAAAACAATTACGGTCTTTGTTCAAACATAATCTAACATTACATTTATCACACCAAACTTGTGTTTTTCCCTTACACTCAGGAAATTTGGCGATCTTCATGCCACTCAGGAAGATGTCCCACATTGTCGCGACAAATTTCTTGGGCTGGTATTTCCGCAAAAGGATATTTCCTTTTTTTAAATCCAGTTGAGACTGTAGTGAGCTATTAGGTCTGCCTCGCTTTTTTGAAGTTATGTCGGATCTTGTTAGAATTTCTGCTAAACCAAGTTTGAATTGAGCCAGTGGCAAATAGTCATCAGAATTGTTCTCAGTGAGAGCTCTTCTCCACAATATCCAACTATTACAGCACAACATGTCGAGGAAATGGAAAAATATTCTTAGGTAAAATTTTTTTGACCTTATAAGTATCCTATGGTATCCTAACATCGAGTCAAGTAGATCAACACCTCCCATATAGTTGTTGTATATACTCTTTGGACGAGGAATCATAATGTGCTTTTTTTCCTTTCTGCAAAATCTCTGTACTTCGGAAATGGGCCGACTGCCTACGTAAGTTCATACTGTGGTAATTACTTTGTTATCATACCAGGAAACTACTGAAACATCTACGCCATCGACTTGAGGAACTCTCTCCATAATTGTACCTCTACCTTTTTTCTTCATCATAGATTCCTTAGGAAATTCGCAATCTGGCACACGATTTTTCAAAATATCTTTTCCTAAGGAGTGAGACCCCTTGAATAATATGTCTTCATCAGATACCCTCAACTGTTTATCTTCCCAATCAAAACAAACCTTGTTTTTTTTCTTTGCCTTGTTTGCTGCAATGAGAGTTGAAAGGGGAACGTCGTCTTCACTATCGGAAAAATCACTTTCTTTAATCACAATATCTTCGACCGTCTCTCTATCAAGCTGTTCTTCACTGGTATCTTCCACCAGAACTTGAGAAAATGATTTTCGGAAAAAATCATCATCTGACAAATTTTCATCTTCACTGCCACTCAAGTTCGGAATCCCAACAGTTTTAGCACCATAAAATCGTTTTGCATCCATCTGAAAAAAGGGGCAATAATATAGTCAGCTTTTCTTTTACTGCAAGTTGTTCCGATTATGGCACAAGAAAACAAATGACGATAAATCAACATGTGTATGAGTTGAAGGACATAATTTTACAAAAGTCACAATAAGACATACTTACCAGAACGTAGATAATTTTAGTTGCACCAAAAATTTGATTTTTGAACGTTTTATGGCCGCCACAACTCTATAAGCGAATGTAGTAACACGTGCCTACGGGCCGCTAAACGAAATCTGACGCAATTCATAAAATACGTGCTAGAGGGCGACAATGTTTCTTGGCGATAGAGAAGCGAGCGTGCCAGATATGGAACAGTTTTGGTTAAGGCCTTTAGCTGTTGGGGGACTTGAAAAATAACATATATTTCACGTGTGCCAAATTTGGGACAGTATGCGGTAAGGGGTTAACTTGCTCAAGTGCCGTATCGTTCCTACAATTGTAGGACGGCTTTATGGCCTTCTTAATTTCCATAGTATTTTCTCTCCTTCATAAAGGCTGGAATATTTCTTGATTTCTACTGTTCCATGTCATTCAAGAACGGAAAAGCTTAGTAAATTTTTAAAATCGGTTCAGTGGCCGCGGGCAAAACAAAAACTAAAAAAAAATGAAATCGCTTTGACGTTGTTTGACGTTCCTCCTAAACATTTTTTAAAACATTTTTAGGGGTAAAAATTGGGAGATGGGGAGTTATAGGGGATGGGGGAGGGTATATCTCGTGTTTTATATTAGTTTATCAATATACTTGCAACCCTGCATTCTGGTTATGCCCTTCTACAAAAGCATGAGGATTTTAATTGCTCCAATACCTACACTTGCCTATCCAAATCATCTTCGGTTGCCCATTGCAATGTTTTCATTTTGAATGGATGAAATTTATGGAGATTAGTAACTGTGTGTACAGAGCCTAATGAAATACCAGTCGCAGCAACAATTTTGTGTAATGAAGTATTAATATTTATTCCAAAATGACCCAAAACTTCAACTTGAGAGGCTTCATCCAAAACTCTCCGATGATCACGTTTTTTATTTGCAACAGATCCAGTTTGAGTAAATTTAGTAACAAGATATAAAACATACCTATACGGCAGCTTGCCGAGCACATGGATTTTGGGCACCATAAATTAGAATCATTCCCACTCTTTCGGCTAGCGTGTAAACCATTTTAGAACATCTGAATCAATAAATTAATTTTCATTATACCAAGGTTGTCACAAAAGTAACTGACAGCAAATTATTTTCTTCTTTCCTTTAGCAACAAATAACTAATTCCGAATTGCTGTTTATGTTGGTAGTTTCAGTTTTAAATTAAAAACGAATTGTAGATTTGATAAGCCCTATCGGGCAACATTTTGAACACTTATTGAAATAAAAAGTAATATTTTCGAGTGTTACTGTTTTCTATCTGAACGAATTGAGATAAATAAAGATTTTTCTAATTTTGTCGGATATGAATCGACTGATTTTTAAAAAACAAACGTCAAAATAAAGGATTTTAAAAGTCCTTTCAAACAAGCTGAATACGGGATTTTGAAAAACCACACAGTACAATAGCCTATAAACCACAGAACTATCAAACATCAAATGCCACTAATGAACGTTTCCCGATTCGTCCATCTCCATTACTCGATACCCCTTGTCATTTAAAATCTTCAAGGGAATGGCCCTTGGGGGCGGAGAGTGAAAGGGGTGAAGTAGTTTTTGATTAAAAAGTTGTCCCCCTTGACAAATATTTTGACGTGTCTCAGCGTTTTTTATTTTAATCAGTGGCTTTCGATATGAGCATTATACTGGAAGTATAATCCAATGAGGTTATTTAATTTCGTGACCTAACATCATAGGATTTATTTATGTATCAAGAGCTATTTATGATCAGTTATCAACTATTATTGTCAAGCATTTTTTTGATTTCGTGATCGCAGCGTAATTCGTGTTTTCATTTTCTTGTTCTTGTTTGTGGTGGTTTAGAATGATTGTAGAATTTCATGATATGTACGAGTATATCCTAAATATATCAGGTCAGATTCCGGTTTCAGCCGAATCTTTTGAACCGATCTTTTGTTATACGGGGGCGTAGGTAACTTTTTTGCCAAAAGGGACTAATTTGTCGCACTTTACCTTTAGTAGCTAATGTTACAGCAGGTTACGCTATTTAAGTTACAGTGGAAAACATAAATTTTATTCAGTTTGTTGGAAGCGTGTGTCAAGCAGAACGCTATATTCCACATACAAATCTTTTGATCGGTTTTTTGAGTTATTGTTCATAAAGGGTTATGTTTGGAAATACACCTAACATAATAGCAATCTAACCGATAACAGAATTGCGTGGGAAGTACAGACTCAACCTACTAGATGCCATTTTTCGATTGTTTCTCTTTGTGACATCCAACAGGAGTTTGCGATTACTTCAGTAGAAAAAAAAACAAAAAAATTTGCAATATGCATTGTATATTAGAAATGCACCTCTACCGAAATACCAGAATCTTGATGTCAAAGTTTTATTCATATTTGTCCACCGATTTATGTTCAGCGGGGAAAATACATGAGAAAAAGATAGCATTACCCACCTTTTTTTGGTGGACCTATGTATTGATAGATGGTATATAAACTTATATAAACTGAGAATCCCTCAATATCTCATTTCTCTTGAATAATGTGTGAAACTACGCGTTATAAAGAACACATTGAATTTCGCGCCAAAGTTGTAATGTAATATAACATAAGTCTTAAATGCACTGCCCTCAGAATGTGACAGTGCCTTTGCCTTTGTCAGCAGTGAAAAATGGCGTTTTCCCTCTGACATCGACAGTTCCATTTAAATGAAAAAAATATCATTTTATTTGTTGCAGGTATACAGAAGCCTGCAGAGGCCTAACAGTCAGCGCCATCCGATAAGTGGTCTGTCTGGGGCACAGACCTTGACGCACAAGTATCGGGGGCCTGAAGTGGTCACCACCACAAATCGGATACAGGAGAGCTGCATCTAATGCAAAAATTGTTTTTAATTGTAATATATTAATGTAATATTATTTATTAAAGTATTAAAGAACTTTATGTCAACTTTTAAACGTGATTTTGTTCATTCTGCTTTATTTTCCTGCCACTGAAAAGATACTTTTTCCTACCATGAAAGGAGTATCACAGCATTATTAGAATTAACTATTTTCCAGTGGGTGCTCAAAGACAGCGAAGTTATTCAATATTTTTAAGGTGAATGGGGAAAACCAAGGCAACGCAAATAGCTGAGAAAATCGAATCACATCCAGACCATGAATCGACCATTGCGAAAAGTACATAGATTTATTCGTTCAAATTTTTATAAAACGAGCATTAAGAAGAAAAGCTACCTTTCATCTCTCGCCACACACATAGTAATACCGCTGAAGCTATGCATACTATAGGTACATAAAAATTCTGTATGTAAAAAATTTGTCGGAAAAATTCTTGTTTTAAGTTCATTTCAGTAAACTTAAAGACTATAGTAAAGTATATTATATAGGCACAACAAGAAGGTGCTTAAAATGCCAAATATCAGAGTACGAAATAGACTGAAATAATTTCCACACACAACTAGTCCAACACATGTTTTAAGGATTTCATGTGATTGATTTTGATTCTCAAGAGGTCCTAAACAGAGAAAACCTAATTTATCTCACGGATGAGTTCAATGTGTACCAGAGAGAAGGGCGAGAAATATCAACACTTGTTAGAAAGAGATAGAAGCCGGCTGAAGAGCGAAACGTTTAATTTAATTTTTGTTCTTTCTAACTTATGCATCTATTCACACTTCTCTCTCGTACACATAGAAATAAAGCCGTTAGGTAAATTTGGTTTTCAGTGTATAGAAATCATAATTATAAAAAAATGATTTTCTAAGAAATGTTGGAAATCAAAAAGCACAATAATGCAGCTAATAAAAGAACACATAGCAGATTTAAGTATTATAACATCATTAATTTCATGGAAACAAAGTAACAACTACCAAATAATATTTATCATCAACAAAAAGGTGAAACATCCAATATAGTAAAAAATAGCTCAGATTCTTACTATATATTTAGAAAGAGCTTTCTCCTTTCCATCAGTCTGTGTCTAGCTATACCTCGTGAGACATTGTCATATTGATAAGTTGCAGTCTAAATGATAATAGCCAAGATGTGCAGAACGATGGATTATTTTGTGACCACCACAATTTCTAATTACACTGGTCAACATATTTACATGTTTGTAAAGTATCATTGATGAAGATAGATTTGTTCGAAGTATTTTATAATACTAAATCCGAAAATGATAGGCTAATTACTGTAGCACGTACAGTCTTTTTGTTATAAGGAGAAAAATACATATATTTTTCTGTCATAACAGCGACAAAAACGTTCACTTTTTTCCTTTTGTGTCTGTAGCATCATCCCTTGTTAAAAACCTACAGTAGTCGCACAACATAGATGGTTCAAGCATCGCTGGTATCTTGTTTCCATCGTCCTGATGTCCTGATGTTCCGGGAAAAAATTCAAATGGGAGTGCAAAAAATGTACTTTAAAGACATGCGACACCTTAGTAATTCATAGGTTTTCAATAGTTCATCTATGAGGTTTTCATAGTCTTCATCTTTCTTGTTGCCCAAAAATCCTTTCACTACACGTACAAAACACGTCCAAGCTGCCAATTCCTTTTCTTTTAATTTTTCTTGAAAACGGAGATCATCTAGGAGCTTTCTCATCTGAGGTCCAATAAATATGCCTTCTTTTAATATTGCATCACTTAGTTGAGGAAATATTTCTCCTAGGTACTGGAAGCCACTACCTTCTTTATCCTTGACTTTGACAAAGTTTTTCATTAGTCCACGCTTAATGTGGAGAGGCGGTAGCAGCATTTTTTTTGGGAGGCATACTTAATATTTGAAGTACCAGGTGCTAAAGAAGATCTATGAGGGCAATCCTTTTTACTGCAGTGTTCTTTTGTTGCCCTACTGTCGCATAGACACAAAAAACAGCAATACTTTGTAAAACCCCCTTGAAGTCCTAGCAATATGCCTATGACTTTTAAATCTCCACAGATATCTCACTGATACCTCCTAAGGCAGGTAACAATGATTTCATAGGACGCATTATAAAAAAGAGCTTGTACTTGGAAATGGGGCGTGCTAGAACATTGCTGGGAAAAGTCGTTCTAATAACTTCTTAAATGAAACGCAAAATAGCAACGTGGACGTGGCTTGGGATA